CTGAGCTGGTGAGGAAAGCTGCTGTGACTGAGTGTGGGGGTGTAGCTGTGAAGGTGCCCCGACCCCAGCTCGGGGGCTGCCAGAGGGGCTCCTGGATGGTCAGCAGGGACATTTCCTCAGCAGGTTCATCCACAGCATGTGCAGGTTCTCCCCTCCCCTCCCTCTGCAGCCACCTGGACGATCTGGGTGAAGGATTTCATCACTTGGGCTCATCTCAGCTCTTTAAACAGGTAGGAATTTCTGGTTTATCAAACATTATTCAACCCTCGTGTGCTGCTGTTAGACCTACCCTGTAGCTTTATCACAGGTTTTATTTCTTAGGGCAGAACAGCTGAACCATGGACATTGTTCTGGGCAAAACCAGGAGCCAGGGAACGAAGGGATGAGGAGGAGAGCCTGTTCCTCATCAAAGAGGGTAGAGCTACAAAAGTGAAAATAAAGCCAGATGCTTTGAGTTGTTCCTATTGTATAGCTTAAGTGATTTTTCTGGGTCATTACTCAATGTGAGGATTTTAAGTTATTTCATTTTGCACAGCTAATTATTCAACTTGCCTGGCAATTCTGGATTACAATGAGAAGTGCATAAGGTCATTTAGCAGACTTACTCACAGCACATGTTTTTGTCTAAGCTAAATTTCATGACAACCAGCTAGATTGTTTTTACCTCCTCCAAACAAAATGTTGAAATCTGAGGGTTTGAAATAATGACATAAACCAAGCAATTAAGAGTGTTAAAAAGGTAATAGAGTGGTTGTACATAGGGACAAATCTCAAAAACAGGGAAATTCTATGTGTTCTAGTTCTGACCAAGCACATATAAGGGAAACCCATTATGTCCTTTAACAGCTAACAAGTAGCTTTACAGCTTTCTTAATGCACCTGATTGCATGTAGGAAAGGAACACTAAAGGTTCCTGCAGACTAGTTCAATCTTAATTGTGTTAATGGCAGTATCACACCTGATGGGAGACAAATGGAGCCTTGAAAGGACAGGAGGGAGCCACAGGCCTCACTCAGAGGAACGTGGACTGCTGTTTTAGCAGACACCCAGGCTCTATCCTTAATTTTGTGAAGAATATTTGTGAAGATCTCCTGTCAAAACTGCTGAGTTCACAAGAAAGCATGAAAACTGTCACCTCTTAGAGGTAAATGCAGTTCATGGAATGTTATCCAAGAGAAGATAAGCAAGTACTGGGGAGGGCAGGGAGCAGAAAGGCTTAGGGAATGTGACAGCACCTGCCAGAACAGAGCCCCTTCACAGACTATTCCCATAAATGATCGATTACTGAGGGAACATGAACACCTTTCCCATCTGCAGCAGCCACAGGCTGAGCTTGCTGAGCACTCAACGTGCCCAGGGAACCTCAGCCAAGGAAACTCTATCTAGAGATCATAGGAAATTCAAGAAAAACAAACATTTCCCTCACTGCAGAGCTAAAGTAACCTCCCAGCTGGGCACTGAAACCCTCTGGATCTCCCCCACCCAGGCACACACATCCTGAGCCCATCAGCATCCCTTCCTGCTTCCCAGCTGGGCTTCTCCAGTGGGAATAAGCAAACTGGAACAGCTCTTGCAGAAATCTGACAAGGGCTGTCAGATTTTGCTCTCAGAGCAGCTCTTCCCCTTCCCTAAGCAAGCTCTCCTCCTCCTCACCAGCCAGAACGAGGAACGACCGACCAACCAGCTCTCTGATGAGCTTTTATCAGAGAATGAAGTGGCTCCCAGCAGGGGGATTTGCTGGATGGAGGGATCACTCTCTTCCCTGATGTACAATTTCTGAGTCTCTGAGGTGGGGTGACCCCCAGCCTCCACCTCCAGGTTTATTATTATTATGGCACTGTGTGGTGAGGAATAGCCCAGTTTGGGTCAGCTGTCCTGGCTGTGTCATCTCCCAACACCTCATCCACCCCAACCCCGTGACTGTGGGGACAGAACGGAGAAAAAGAGGAAGTGTGGATGCCATGGAGGCACTGCTCAGCAGCAGCCAGCACTCCAGGGTGTTCTCCACACTGGTTTCTCCAGAAATCCACAGCACCACTGTGACAAAGCCGGTTCCCTCCATCCCACCAGGCCCAGCACATTCTTATACACAGCTGGAGCTGGCTGGGGACATCAGCTGCCAAATGAAGGTCCTCACACAACTGCTACCAACTTAATGAGGCACTGTCAGTGTTAAATGCTGGCTCCACCAGGGAAGAAAACCGATGCAGGCTCCCATGGCACAGATCAATGGCTGGGTCGATCTCAAGGTCCCTGCTTGGAGGCCACTCAATGTGTTAAAGCATTGCTTGGCTGCACAGAGCCAGAGCAAGCAGCCCAAAAAATGAGCTTTTAATCACTCTGCATGAAGTAAAATTGGAGTTTGCTTTGGTGTGCTCACGGACTGAGGCTGTTCCTGTGAGGGAGCCTGGGGGATGCTCCCACACCTGCCCTGAAGGAGCACAGTGCTGGGTGTGCCACAGCTCTCCATCACAGGATTCACTCCTGCAAACCCTTAGGAACGAGGGCAGGCTGCTCTGTCACCCCATTTCCCCCCACAATCTCCTCATCCACCTGCAGGAGGAAGGGAACACTTGTCGCTGCTCCAGGCAGAGCAGGCTGCCCGATCCCTGCTGTCCCTGGCCAGAGGTGGATCCCTGTCCCTGCCCTTGGCAGGAGGGACAGCTCTGCAGACACTGGCCCACGTCACAGGCACTGGGGCAGCTCCAGGCCGGCTCAGAGCCAGCGCCTGCCCTGGCACCAGCAGCGTGAGCTTCTCTTCAAAACCATGTTTTCAATTAGGGCTCGAGCGCAGATTGTGCCTTTATTGTTGGAGGCCTCCTCCTGAGGCCCGCGATTGATTTATGAAGTTGATTAAAATATTAAAATAATTTTGTGTGGTGCTGCAAACGCCCCATAATGTGCATTTTCCTCAGTTGGTGCTGTTCCAATTAGCTTGAGACTCTCCTCTCTCCCTCCTTTTGTGACCTGTTTTGTCCACTAACAAATGACAGTTATTGTGGCCCTACTTTTGTATTTATTAGAGCTGATGCATATGTGTGCTCACTGAGCAGTTCAGAACGGGCTGGTGAGCAGCGGGGAGCCCGGCAGGCCAGAGCTGTTCTGAGTGGAGAAGGCATCCAGAACTGTCTAGCTGGAGCTATTTATTCCTATCTGCCTTATGTTGCTGGCAAAATGAGGGTAAATCAGTAGAGGAGTTGGGAATGAAATCCATCTACCATGAACAGCAAGCTCTTTCGCTTGGCTAACTGGGATTTTCCTGGGACAGAGCCCTGGGTTTCCCATGACACTTTCTCTGTCCACAGGCTGATCTCCCCAAGAGTCCTGAACATCCTTAATGTCCTTCCAAGAGCATTTTCTGGCCATCAAAGAGCTGAATACAACACTGGTCACCTCTGCATTGCCCACAGCCCCAAAGTCCAACCTCACCAACCCCACCAGCTACCAAAGCTACTGATGGAGCCATGCACAAACCACAAGGTCAGGGCAAGCACCTGGTGCCCAAATGCTGCACAATCAGGAGTGAAAAGTTTATGTCCAGGCATTACATGTGACCCCTCAGGGATCGCTGGAGTGCCATGAGTGCTTTGGTGCTTCACAGGCACTGGGAAAGGATGCCCTGGATGCCCCACCAATGCCAGAGCAGCCAGGCACAGCTCCAGGAGTGGGGGCAGGACCCAGGTGGGGAGAGGAGGATCCACCTTGTCCAGCTGCATACCATGGATTAAAAAGGAAATTATTCTGTCACTGAGGCACTGCTTTGCCTTCAGGTCCTGTGCTACTACAGGGCTTTGTGGCTGAGCCCTGAGCCACTGCTGCCCCTGACATGGGGGAGGTGGGACTGAAGGAATGGGAGATATTTCACAATACCAAGCACTGTTTATATCCCCTCTGGCCCCAGCATCGTGGAACAGCAGCAGTGCTTGTGCCAGGCCTGGACTGCAGCAGCTGCCTCTCATTCCCACCTCTCACTCTCTTGAGAAACCCTTGTCTGGGTTTGGTTTGATCCCAGGTGATGGCACTGGGACCATGGGGTCAGCTCCACTCCCCACCAACACTTTTGCCCCTGGATTGCAGGGAGTGCTCCTGAGTGATTAATAGCATCATGAGTACATAAACAACGCACTTCCACGTGCCTTCTGCTGCTAAACAGGGGCATTGCTATGGCAAACTTCATTTATCACTATTTAAAACCCAAACAAACGAGCACAGGCTGTTATAAATATGCTTACAAGACCAGCTACACTGGGGAAATGGAGAAGAAAATGAGCCAAGAGCAAGGGAGGTGGTGTGTGGGAGAACACCTCTCTCTGCTGGGTTCCAGGGAGCGAGGCTGCTCCTGGCAGTGCCACCTGAGCAGGATGCAAGTGCTCTAATGACCTCTGTCACCATCAGCCCTAAGGTGGGCTCTGTGATACACTACAGATATTTTTTGAATAGAAAAAATATCAGATCCAGGGCATATCCCCAACTCCCTGGAGGAGAGAGATGAATTGGCAAATGGAAGGCTACAGCGATAAGGGAGTTTTTATAAACATAACCTAATTGTATTACTTCAAAGTCCTGAAGTTTATTGCCCTGTTTAATGATGTGTCTCGTTATTTATGGTGTAGCACAATGAGTCTGCTATTGATTTAATGCACTTCCTTAAAGACTGTCATTGTCACAAGCAATAAAACAAAGCCATTCTGAGACAGCTCATTTATGTCACATCTCCATCAGCTGACCCCAGGCATGGGAGGGCCACTGTGGGGAAGGGGGTCACCTTGGGCAAGGATGGAGCCAGAGGGTGGAAGCTGAAGGGCAGGAGCAGGCAGGTGGCTCAGGGATGCTGCCAATGACATGTGCCACCTGCCACTGGGCACTCAGTTTGGGACAAGCCTCCTGCCTGAGCCTGCCAGCACGGTGATGGTGTATGCATGGGAAAGGGAGTGATGGATGGAAACCAGCATGTGACACCTGATGTTTGTGCCCCTGCCCATTCCCATCACCCTCCTCACCTTTCTGGTACTGGAGCCAGAGCTGCTGCTGGACCTTCTTGCTGGGGAAGTGGATGGTGCAGCTGAACTCGGAGCCGTACAGCGCCTCCGCGATGTAGTGGGAGCCAAACTGCTGGATGAAGGAGAGCAGCTCCTCCCGGCTGCTGTCCTTGTTCAGGATCTTCAGGATGTTTGAAAAGCCTGTGGGAGGGAGGCAGGGGGTGGGCGGTCAGCCAGGCAGGGCTGGCAGCCACAGCCCAGAGGAAGGAGCCCCAGAGGTTCCCTGCTCAGGTCACACAAGGCCCCATATGGGTGCAGCTCCTCCTTTTTTTTCTCCACCTGATCCTTTGGAATCCACAACCTGTTGTTACCCCAAGCTGTGGCTCTGACTTCCTCCCTAATTCCTCTCCCTAAGGGATTTCTCAGATAATTTTGCAGGGATGTGCATGTGAACACGTGTGCACACACAAACAAACACACACACACACACACACACACCACACACACACACAAAACCTCCATCCTTGCCAGCTCAGCTGCTCTTCAGCCTGCTGGCACATCACTAGCACTCTCCCCAGAGGATGTGCTTGGCCTTTGCTTGGCTGTATCCATAACCAGAGGTGCTCCATCCCTACTGCAAACACCCAGCACAACTGGTAACTATTTTTAGGAAAGCTGGAGACAGCCCAGAGGGACATGCAGGGCTGGGCTGGTGGCAGCTCCGTGGATGTGCAAAGGTCAAGGCATCACTTGAGCAACATCCATATGGACAGCAGAGACCTCTGGCATGGGACAAGGACATGGACCCTTGCTGCTCTGTGGAGGTGAAATATCCTGGAGATACCGCTGACTTCACAGCACTTCAGCATCACTTAGAGCTGGCTGAAAGCACCGTTTTGGTTCAGTGCTGGAACGGAAAACATACTGCAAGAAAATACGTCATAACTGTCACCAAAATGAGATTATCTGGCTGGTTGGTTGGTTGGTTTATTGAAAGAGAAGGTTGTTCTAATAAAAAAGCCAGAAGAATTCATTTTGAGATGAACCCACATATTTTTTTCAGCTCTGAGCAGGTTATTTCATTTTGGGGCTGTGCAGCCTGTTAGCACTAAATCTTTTTTTTTCTTTCTCTCACCATTTAAAAACTCGTTGATTTTTAAATAAAAAATGCTATTTTGAAATGAAAAGGCAAAACATTTCAGGTCGCAACAAAATGTTTCAGTATTTCTGAAACAAAATGTGTAGCTGTAAAAACGTGGCAGTGAAATGTTTTGACATTTGCAGGATCCTCCCACCCACCCCTTCTTCATCTGTGACTCCCTGCTTTATATGACCTGCTTTTCCAAGTGCTTCAGTTCCTTTTGAAACCACCTTTTTTTAGGGACTGACTGTTTTTTGTACATACGCACATACACAGCCACCCTAAAAAAAATTCTTCCTGCTCATTGCTGACTGGCTTCCTCCTGGCTTTGACCTCTTGTTGCCCAAACTCCCTGCCTCAGTTTCCCCCCTGTAAAAAAGGAGGTGAATCTCCCTGCCTGTCTCTCCAGCAGTGCTGGGAACAGAGCATGGAGGTGGGAAATGTCAGAGGGATGCTTGGGGCAGAAGACCACCACCCACCCATGCAGACACACATCTCCCTGCCCCTGGAATCCCTCACCTGCAGAGAGTGTGATGGAGCTGAGCTTCACCCTGTAGAGGTTGCTCCTGACCCGCCAGTGCTGCACCATGGGGTACCCCATGGCCTCGTCGTACTTGATGTCCCCTGCAAAGACAAAGCAGGCGGGTGACACCGCTGAGCATGCTCTGGGGAGTGCTTTACGCTCCCTCCCACCTTGTTACGTGCTGCAGGGGTGAGAAATGGGATGGTGGAAGGGCTGGAAACCTCAGTGGTGATGCTGTGGGGTACCTGGACCAGCACAGGGATGGCTGTGACTGCCAGGAGCTCACAGGAATGGAGATGCTGCTGGGATGGACTCACACATCCCCAGATTATTTCTGCCCCTGGCACAAAGGGGGTGATGATGCCCCTCAGGAACCACATGGGATCCAGGGTGGGAGAAGGGGTCGTTCCTCCTGTGCTATCTCCTGGGACACTGACCCTGGGGGCAGCTCGTACCTGTGAGGAGCTGCAGATCAGGAAGGGGCTCCGAGAGGACACCACGGCACTGCTCCTCCACGGGCAGAGGGATCACCAGGAGGCCATCAGCCAGCTGGGGGAAGTCCTTGATGAAGTTATTCTCCCTGCAGAGAGAAAAAGACAACTGCAAAGCAACGATGCAGGGCACGGCCAGGCAGAGGGGCTGAGCTGCCCTGGTGGCACCGGGACAGGCAGCTCAGGAGGGTAGGGGACATCTCCTCAAGCAGGAGCCCTGCCAGGGGATGGGGTTTGCAGCCTCTCCACCAGCCAGCCTGGCTGTGCAGCCCTCTGAGATGATGCTTAATGAGCTCCCCAGGGACTACAGCTCCATTAGTGCTCCAGAAATATGGAACTGCTCTCAGCCTGGGGACCCGGCCACTGGGTTTGGCCCAGATTTTCAAAGTGGGCCCCTGGAGAGGGGACAAGGAAAGAGGAATGGCTGCTACACCCCAAAACTGTCCCTTTCCACACCTGCAGCATCTTCATGTGGACAGTGACCAAGTATTGCTGGGGCTCCCCAGGCAGCATCATCACCCCTACATTTTTCACCCTCCCCAGTGACTCGCTCTCCAAGAGGCAAAAAAAGTATATTTTACAGCCAGACACAAAAAACCCCACTCTCGTGTACAGCTCACAGTGCAATTTTACCACACATGCAGGATCTTTTCTAACCTTGGCAGGTAAAACATTGTATAATAGGCCCCTAATGAATTGTTTCTAGAACAACGGTACCAGGGAAATGATTTGAAATAGTGAACAGACAGGTCTCTGGGAGACGAGCCTCCCCCGGTAAGCGAAATGCCTTGCGCCTGCGCCGAGGAAACAGGAGGGGGGATTTTAAATATTGATCTTAGAGCCAAAATATAGGCCAGGAGGCTTTGCATCCTCCAGGTGTGGAGACAAAAGGGCAGCAGAGAACAAGAAAGGGAGGTTCCTGTAAAATCAGGTCAGCCCCAGGAGCTTGGGGGAGGTTCAGACTGGCGCAGCCTGCCCCAGCTGCATTTTTTGTAATATATTTTCCTTTAAACAGCTGCTGATTTCACTCACCTTCCCTAGTTTTACCCCCTATAGCCTGTCCCTGGGCAGATGATCCATCATCCTGTGGTCATCTCACAACTGGGGACACCCTGGCCACCTCCACGGGTCCCAGCAAAGTGAGATGCTGATTTCAGGGAACAATTCCCTGGGATCCTCCCCTTGCTCTGGGGCCAAGATGTGACCACTGCAACCTGCACCAGAGGTGAGCAGAAAGCCATAGATAGCCCTCTGCAACCAGCCTGGGGATGCTCCCAGGACGGGAGCATTTGAAGGTAGAGACACATGAGTGGGGCACAGGAAGTGTTCAAAGCCAGACTGGATGGGTCTTTAAGCAATATGCTCTAATGGAAGGTGTCCCTGCCCATGGCAGGAAGGTTGAAAGAAGATGATCTTTAAGGTCCCTTCCAACCCAAACCATTCCATGATTCTCTGGCTGCACAGGCAGCCTGCCTCATGTTACACCCCCATTTCAGAGCCACCAGCACCTGACTGCATCTCAGGAGCCTTACTTTCTGCACTGCCTCAGTGCAAAATAGAAAAAAAGTGCTTTATTTTTCTGAGGGGAAAAGCCTCTCACTCCCAGCATGCTCACAAATCTCCGATTGATCCCGCTGGGCACGGGATCCCTGTGGTGGAACGTTCTGCTGCTCTGAGCCCTTTGCTGTCACAGCAATTCCAAATGGGGAGCTGCAATTACTGCTGGAGCTGGGAGTCGTGTGGGTGGCTGCAAAATAAAGCAAGTTGGTAGGGAACAGGGGAAGAAACATGTTGGTGTCTCTGCTGCTCTGCCTCAGCAGAAAAGGGAAAACATCAGCGCTCCCGAATCCCAAAGCCACGGAGAAGCGTGATGGAAAAGCAGGATGCAGCTGCACTGAGCCTGCCTGCCATCCTGGAGTGTGGGACTGTCCCTGTGCTGACAGGTCAGCTCCCCATCCTGCACCAGGATGAGCACAGGGGCCAGGAGGGTCATGCCTGCCCAGCCTCAAATCCCACCTCTGAGAAGACCAGGATTCCCAGGAGGAGGCTGGTGGAACGTTCCCAAGTGCTGTCCCACATGAGGGGACAGACCTGGTGTGCCCCAAGGGACACAAAGAGATGGCATGAGAGGTGCCAGAAGCTCATGTTCATCCAGCACCCTGCACCCTGACACGGGGCAGAGGAGACGTAAAGAGGCAGCATCTCCTCCTGTCCCCTCCTGAGCCATCTCAGCAGCACCATCCATGCCATGAGCCCGTGGAACTGCTGTCCCTGGGCATGTCCCAGCTCACCCATGAGGCAGAACAGCCCCGGGGCTGGTGGCCCATGCCTGGGCAGCTCAGGAGGGAGAAGCTGAGGCATCAGGGGACCCAACAGCTGCTGCTCAGAGCTGCTGCCTCTATGAGAAGGCATTTACAGAACAACCACGTTCTGCAGGACCACTCTTGTTATCCATTTCTTCAACTGTTCCACACTCAAAAGGCCAAGGAAAAAACAGGGGCAAGTGGGAGCCAAGGAGTGGGCATGTGCCCACAATGTGCTCCCGTCATGGCAGGGAGCAGCAGTGCAAGGCAGCACTTCAGGAGTACTTCCATGATGAATTCTTGCTACCAAGCCCTTCCTGCATCTCTTCCAGCTCTCCCCACCTCCAGGCCCTGCTCCTTAACATCCCAAGGCAGGGATGAGCCAAAGCCGTGCAGGGGAGCACCCACCAGGCAGAGGTCTGGGCACAGCACAGTCCCTCTGCAGAGTCCTCACTGCCTGCAGGGGACACGCCAGGCAGGGCACACTGCTGCTGGGTGTGCCCAGGGCACAGCATTCCATGGGCTGGCAGCTGGCAGAGGGCTGCAGCTCCTCTTCCACAGGGCCTTCTTAATAACCCTGTGGCTTGCACACTGCTCACTGTGGGGGCACAAAAGAGCTCATGCCGGACGTTTTTTTGCTCTCTGGAAGCTGTGATCAAAGCCAGCAGGCTCTGTGCAAGGGGCAGGGACACGGGTGAGGGGAGGGATGTGGCAGCAGCCCTGTGCATGTGTTGCCACACGTGCCTCCTACTGGAGCATGGCAGAGCCACCAGCACCTCTGCAGGGGTGCAGGGCCAGGTGTGGGGGTCACAGGGTTATCCAGTGTGATCAGGCAGGATGGAGACAAACCTGCCAGCCCCACAACATCCTCCTGTGTCTCTTGTTCTGCCCCTGGCATCTCCCCAGTGGAACAGCTGCCCAGGACTCACTGAAGCAGTGAGCATGCAGCTCTCTCCACTGTGATGCACAAGTAATCCACTCCCCAGCACTCTCCTGCTGGGGATCTGAGCATCTCCCAAGGCATTTTGCAGATACTGAGTCATTACACGAGGAAATGCAGCTTCTTCCAGCAGCATCTGACCCAGAGCATGTGCCTGCCTTGGAGGGAACTGAGTCCATATGAACGAGCCTGATTCTGGGAAAGGTCAAATGGCCAAAGGCTGTAGTGAGCTCGGATACTGGCAGGGTGGGCTGAGGAGGAAGGCAGCCACCTGGATTAAACTGAGTTCAAAATCCTGGCTTTGATGGACACTTGGTGTATCCTCAGCCGAGTCCTACAATGCACCCATTGCCTGTGTCACCATTGGGGTGACACAGACAGCTGAGAGCAGCTCCCACGTCTTGGGGTGCTGCTGGGGTGACAGCAATGAGTGGCTGCTCAGATATCAGGAGCAGGACTCAGGCAGCAAGAGCTTGCTGTGGCACTGTTCTCCTGTCCTCCTGAAACCAGATGCACAATCCAGCTGTGTTTTTGGACTGTGACCTTTAACAGCACAGCCAAGGTCATGCAGCAGAGCCACGGTGCAGCGCTGGGCTGCATTGCTGCGCTCTGCAGTGCTGGCAGCAGCTCACACAGCCCGTGGGAAGCCTCCAGAAAGGACCAGTATCCCAGGGAAAAATGGGGTTTGGGGATGCAGGGGAGCTCAGTGCGGGCCCTGGGGAGAAGCTGGAATGCTGTGGTGTTCCAGGACTGAGCCAGGGCTGCTGGATTCTGCTCCAGGGCACAGTTCTGCTGGCCCTGGGGCACCACATCTCCTTGCTGAGATGCTCAAAGCCAGAGCCAAGCTGGCAGTGGGATTTTGGCCTGCAGCAGGGAAGGATCAGCTGGTGGCTGACATGCATTTCATTTTCCTGTTAGCAACACCGCTGGGTGAAGGAGCAGCTTCTCCTCTTTAGCTCAGTCAGCTGTGGCTTCCTCCCTTGGCACTCTGCTCCCACAGGACTTGGCCTTGAGGATGCACTCTGCAAACCAGCCCTTCCTTGCAGCTGTAGAGCTCCCACTGCACATTCCAAGCATCAGCTGACGTGGGGCTTCCTGCCTCCACCCAACACTGACAGCGGATGCACACCCTGCAACACAGCACCTGGGCAAGTATATTCATGAAAGGGTAAATATATAAATATTATATATAAAGTGACCCCACAAGTGATTAGCTTATGCCCTGAAGCATGAGATTTAATTACCCTTATCTGAGCCAGCACAGCTACAAATGTTAATCACATTATCATCCAGCAAGCTTATGTTCAGCAAAGTGACTACTCCTTTCTGCTATGCAAGCCTGAGAGGACGCCTGTTCTGGCAAAAAATTAGTTATTAATCTTACTTCTTTCTGTCCCACAATGGCTCAGGGAGAACACGATAGATTTGAGGTTATTTAGTGCCAGCTTTTCACCCAAATTTCCCTTGGAGAAGCTGCCTGCTGGGGTGGCTGCAAGATCAGCAGAGCCCAGCCTGACATGGAGACATTGAGAAATAGCTTCCTTTTAGCTTGTCATCACCAAAAAAAAAATTATCTGGAGTCACTGGGAAACAGAAGAGAGGGTGTCCTGTTGCCACAGCCACTTAGGAGAAGGTAAGCACACTGTAAATCTGCCCCAGCATGTCTCCATGACCTCAGGCACTGGTGAATTATAAAGGTTTAATGCAAACCCTGTGAAGCAGCAGTTACTTACTCCAAATTTACTGAGCATTAATTTCAGCGAGGCCCCACTCCTGTAGAGCAAGGCAGGATGAAAGAGGAGAGACCAGTTGGATTTTGCCAGGTTCAGGAGCCCCTTCAGTTCCC